ATATGAAATATGAAAACCAAAAACATTTTAATTGATTGCACAATAAAATTAAATTTAAGTTTAAATAAACATAACAAGAAATGCATAAAAATTTAATCGGACATGAATATGCAAATTAAATTGATGAATGAGATAAAAAGTGTGAAAAGTATTTAGTAAAGTTCTATACAAATCGAATTTAATTGTACAACTAGACTTTAAATTGAATTCGAATTGAATTCGTATATGAAGTAAATCAACACACGCATGTATATATACATATATATGTACGTGTATGTGAGCGTATATATTATATATGTATATATTTTTAAGGCTATAGACAACTGTCTGTGGTGGCCCACTTTGTGCTATTCGTGTATGCCCCCTCTTTTATTTATTGACTGTTAAACTTTTCATTAGCCATTTCGTTTAATTCGCACACAATATCAAAGATTCAAAGGCAAAGGCAAAGCCAAGACTGGCAGCAGCGCCAGCATCAGCATCAGCAGAGGCAGAGGCAGAGACGCTAGAAAAGCAAAGGCCAACGGAAACCAAAAAGAAAAACAGCAACAACAACAACAAACATAGCAATGGCGACAACGAATGGCACAGCACAGGCAACAACAACAACAACGGCAACAACAACAGCAACTAACGGCACTAAGTATAATGTATTTGTGTTGAAAGCAACCACAGCAGAAACTTTATTGCCTGCATGAGTGAGTATTTCTGTGTGTGTGTGTGTTTCTTTGTGTGTTTGTGTGTGTGTGTGAGTGTGTGTGCGTCTGGGTATGTCTGCTATATCACAGATACAATCAGAGCGCAATTGTCTGCGTTGATGAGCGAAGCAATGGAGCGCCCATCATGTATGCCATTTCAACCTTCTACCAACAGCCACCTCAGCCCCTCCCATTCCCGCTCCCACTCCAGTGCACGCCCACAAAGCAGCCGCCCATTGACTGTGCGCTTTTTTTTATGACAAAGAGAGCATCACGTAATCACAATGATAAGAATCACGCATCCCAACACAGAGACTTACTGACAGCTACATTCCGAATGACAAAAACCAGAAATAATTTTTGTTCCGCAAAAAAAGAAGGAAAAGAATTATTATTTTCGTATAATGATTAAGTGAAAGTTTGCAGACAAACCACAAAATAAAAAATAAAAATAAAAAGAGATGATTAAATACGCTTTTACTGCCCATAGCTAAGCGATTATGTGCTCTGAACTGAAACAAGGTCTATGGCAGCTGGGCAAATGATTAAAATGAAGCTTTAAATTAAAATATAAATTAAGATAAATAAATAATAATTTATTTATAGCCGTCATGAATAATTAAAACGAGTATCAAATAAATGTATATAACTATAAATGCATGAATGCGGAAGAGGTTAGGCAAAGGACAACAGAGTCCGGAGGGTATAAGGAATATATATATATATCATAAAAAATTATTATGCTGATGGAAAACAGAATCTCAAGCAAAATTAAATACTTTTTTTAGGTAAAATACATATTTTATTGGTTTCTAATATTACAAAATA